ACTTAGTAAATTATATAATGTCTAAGCACCGGGGTGTACACCTGAAACTAATATAATATTGTATGTCAACTGTAATTGAAAAATAAAAAGTTATTTAATGTCAAAAAAGAAGGAAGACATTTCTATTGGTGCAGATAATATAACATAGTGATGCTAATTTTTAACATTTAAAAAACTTTTCACTCGAGGAGTCATCAATCCAGTAGCCACAATAACTGCTTTCTTGTTATCTTTGCAAATGGTTCTTTAGGGCACCATGTTGCTTTAGGCCCAGTTCAAAGGTTGTTTTGCCCTATTTTATCATTCCAGACATTTGAGGCACAAGACCCGCAAAGCAGTTCTCTGGCATGGCAGCACAGGTTCCATTTTAAAGTGGATATATATATATTAAAAAATTTATATATATATAATTTTTTTAACAACCAAGTGATCAAATGTAACATCATTATAGTGTGACCCCTGACATTTTGGACTCCTGGCGAGATGTTACACACAGCACCTGCAAGGATTCATTTGAATCCCATCTAACTTCTAGCTTACAGGAAATAAAGAAGACGGAAAAGTGCATTGAATGGTACCCACAGAAACAGTCAAACACATCTAGTTTATGTGCCTTTCTATAGCAAAGTTCTTCTGGTCTCTTCAAAAACCCAATGTCATTGGTGAGGGAGAGGGAGTAGGAGCATTGTTCTACATTAAAAGACACTGAAGTGATATAAAACTAAATGCAACATATGAACCTAGATCAGAGCCTGGTCCAGGGCAGAAAAGCTATTATAAAAAATTGGGCAGAGGCAGGGGGAGAACAACTGGGGAAATGTGAAAATGGATGAAACATTAGTTAATATGATGGAATCACTGTTAATTTCATTTAGTTGAAACAATGGCATTGTAGTTATGTGTAATCATGTTCTTAAAATTAGGAAGTACCTGATGAATATTTAGGGGCAAAATCTCATGATATCAGCAAATTATTTTTAAATATTTCAAAAAGAGAGAAAGGAAATGTGGCAAAATGTTAACAGATTTATATAGAGGATCTATGAGAGTGTATTATTCTTTTAACTTTTCTATGTTTGGATATTTCAAAATAAAATATTGGAAAAATAGATATATATCTATATATATTTTAGGCTATATTGAAAATTAAAATTTATCAATAAAATTAAATGTATTAAAATTATAACATAGTAATTAAATTCTGTATTTGAGAATAGAAAGAACTTGTATAAGGGCAAAGGAAATCAGCTTGAAGTAAGACAAGATAATTTATTTAAACACTACTACGCACAATACTGTACCAAGGAATCCAAACATACTTGCTAATACTTATGCATGTGCACACACACGATCTCTTTAAAAGGCACCATTTAGTGTGCTAAGAACTCCCAGTGTATTGTCATTTGGGAGAACATAACATATTTTGTCTGCCAAAACTCTGAAGGGCAAAGATTTACTAATGCTAGCCCTTTTTGGGCAAAAGTTCAACCCTCTATTACAAACACAGGTAAACATGTCCAGAAGTTGGTTTTATTATTATTTTTAAACATTTGAATTCTTCAAAACACGGCCATTTGCAGAGGGGAGGAGGCAATGCCCTTGTCTTCACTTTTCTAAAGAGAGAAATCTTTACTTCCTGTCTTGGAAAGTGCAGTTTTCAAATCTTGTTTTTTTTGTCCCTGTCTATTGACATGGGCCGCTGCAGACCTAAACCCAGAAGAAGCAGCAGGCCTCTCGCACATGCTGGCAGGTTCCTCCCTAAGGCCTCAGTCCCAGCCTCAGCTGCATATTGGAATCACCTGGGAAACTCAGTCCCAGTACTAATGCCAAGGCTCCACTACAGACCCATTGACTCAGAATTGGTGAAACCACTTACTCAGTATGTACTAAGTGCCCACTGTGTGCAAAGGCTTTTGTACATCCATCCCAGTACTAGGCCAGGAGATGATGGGTATTCACCTAGAACTATGATTTTGTCATTGTTCTCGAGCAGCTTAGTGCAGGAGGGAAGATAAGAAATACTTGCGACTAGTCTAATTCAAGCCATACAATTAGCATGAGTCTAGTGTCCTGATGAAAGTCAAACAAATGCCTGAAATAAGCTGAATCCAGGTCAGCCACAGGCATCATCTTAATTCCTTTAAGTGTGACCTGTCATATGGTAAAACTATGTAAAAAACACAGAATTCTCTCAAATCAAGTAATAAGGTTAAAAAGAGGTTTGGAAAGAATTCTCTGTGGATTTAGAGGATCCTGTGGAAGGCTCTTCATGCCTGATGGGAAGATATTACATTTAGGAAAGCCAAGGGCATGTCAACTCCCACGAGGTTCTAATGGAAGTGAGCCACAACCAGGAAGGCCAAACATACAGTGAAGTTAAAGGAATTTCACAAACACCTGCATACCCGCCACCTAGACGCTACCATCAACACTTCACTTGGCTTCATCCCGTGTTCATCCTTCTATTTGTCCCTCATATAGAGGCTTTTAAAAGTATTTGACAATCTATATGTAATTGGTATTACTACTTAGAGAATATAGCATGTTAGAATATTGGAATTAGTATTGTGGCTCCATTATGAAATATGTCAGTAAGTACTTGACTTTAAGTTTAAATTGAAAATAGAATTGACTTATTTAAGAAAATTTAAGACTCACCAGATAAGCCTGATACATTCAATGGACTAGAATTATTTAAGAATTAAAGATTTGCCTGTCCTATTTAAGATACTTAAAATATTTAAAGCATCTGATATCTTAAACGTACTATTGCAGCTTAAAATATAAAAGTGTATTGAAATTAATCAAAGGTCTAAAAAGACCTTTGATTAATATTTTAATCAAAGGCATAAACTTTTACATATTCATATGTATCTTCACAGAAAATTATTTTTTTTATTTTTGAAAGTCAAATAAAATATTGTATATTTAAAAATAAACCTAAAGAAGCCACATCAGAAAAGCCATCCTCAGACACCAAAAACTCATGATGACAAGTGGACTGTGACCATTGCCCTCAGAGTGGAGTAGAGAGAGGCCCACAAAGGGAAAGAATTGAGTTTGTCAGGGACCAGAGGAGACATTCTGAGGAGATGAAATGCAATAATCATAACTATGCAATGCTGAGGGGGTGCCAGGACGTGGCACCCACTGTTCCCTCAAGCCTCACCACCGGCCTGGGCAAAGTTGGCATTATTGACCCCACTTCGTGGATGCTTGGAAAGAAGTTATATGGCTTAAAGTCACACAGTTAGTGTTCCTGGACCTAAACTCCTTACCTCCCCCCACATCCCCTAGCTTTATTGAAATATCTTTAACATCTGATGGGAAAATATTAAAATGACTTAGGAAAGCTAAAGCAAATGTCAAAATCCAATTAAATTCTGAAAGAAGTGAGCCTACTTGGGGCAGGGGACAGGGTGCAGTTTGCAGTCTTGAGTTAGGGCAAGGAATTCTGTAGTGATAGTGAAATATCCAGAACCCAGGACAGGTGAAGGGGAAGACTCTTCCTGTGTCCCCAGTCTCAGTGAGGGGCATTTCAAAGCTCCTTAGGGACCCAAGCCAACCTGAGCTTTCTGTTGCCCTTGACTCTACCTTTTCACCCTCCCCCCAGAATCTGGTCATACTATTTCCCTCCTCAGAAACCTGCAAACCCAGACTCCCACTTCCCTCCATCTTGCTGGTGGTCTCTCCCTATCGGGGCTGAGTGACTGAGTGGCTCCTGCCTGCCCTCCCTACTCTGCCTCTAGCCTGGCCCATTCTTGGCCCTTCCCTCTGACTGGCCAGAGCAATCCTTTTGAAGCCTATTCAGAGTTATGTCCCTCCCTTTCCAACTGTGCAAAGTCCTAACTCCCTAAGGTGGCATCCCTAGAGGTCTCCACCTTGTCCCTATATCACCAGAGGCTCAAAGCTCCAGTGGCTAGTACAAAAATCTAGTACACAGTAGGCACTTCATGCCTGACGGTCTGGAAGAAACCAAGATACGGCCCTAGATATCTGCCCGATTCCCAAACACCTTTTCCTCTGTCCAGTCTGCCTTTTGCACTTCACTTTGAAGGAAGGTGGGCGGGACTGTACACACAGGAGATCTCTGGGGAGAATAGCCATGCCTGTGGGGATGGCACTGTAGGATCCTGGGAAGAAAACAGGTGGATAGGAGTCTGAAGCAAACCTGTGCTGAGCTGCTCTGCTGGGTCCTGGTCACAAAGCAGTCACTGCTACATAGGTGTGCCAACTGGGGGTTGGGTTCTTTCCGAAGAATGGCATATCTATTAACACTTGTGTGTCTATTTAATTAAATCCTCACAGCAACCACATGCAATAAATGCTATGGATGGGGAAGCTGGGTTACAGAGAGGTGAAGGGTCTGGGTATGAACAGCTAGGAGCCAAAGAGTCTGGGCAGGAAATTCGGCTGTTGCCTGAGATCCTCAGCTTGAAACCCCTGAGCTTGGCACACACATCTGCTACCATTGAGTGCTCGTTCTAATGAGGGCTAGAAAACAAATAAGCAAACACAGGAGTTTGTCAAAGCATTGGAGGGGCGTGGTGGAAAGTGATCAAGAATGCCACTTTTGATGGGGTGGCCATGGAAGACTTCACTTTGAAGGAGGCATTGAACTGAAACCTGAAGGTGAGGAGAAGCCACGAAAGAGCTGGGGAGAGCTGCTCCAGGCAGAAGGGACCTCAAAGAAAAGGCTAGGACAGGGCTGAGAAGCTGAATTCCCTTAGGGGGTCACCTTTCACCTTTGAGGTAGAAGCCATTCAGTGGCTGCCACAGGGGGTGCTGTTTGGTGTGATTGAGTCTCCCCTGGGTGAGTCTGAGGCAGGGAAGCTGTGGGAAAGCTCTCTGTGTGGGTCCTAAAGTCACTGGGCCACGGAGGGCCCTGGTGGACAGCGGGGGGGCCCTGGTGGACAGCGAGGGTCCTGGTGGAGGGTAGGGGCCTGGGTAAATAGTGGCTCGGCCCTGGGTCTTGTTCTCACTGAGCCCAGCACACTCACATTTTCTTTGAAGCTGTGGTTCTCAGCGCATTCGGAGTCATCCTGCCAAATACCTGTGGAGTTCTGCGTCTGCCAAGTGCCCTGAGCCAAGCAGCGTCGGTAGGCCCTTCCTGAGTCCTCTGAAAGTAAACACAGCTCTGAGGGAAAGGTCAGAACACGCAGCCGGCTCCCCAGGGCCCGGTCCTCACCACAGAGCCATGGAAAATCCCAGGGGAAAGGAGTTTTACGTCCCTTTGGTGTGGGGGGAGGGAAGGGGGCTCATTAACATCCCTACTGTTTATTTGGGACAGAAAGAAAAACAGGACAGCCTCAACATTTTGTAAGAAGCCATGATCCTCTAATGGCCTGCTGTGTTTACCGAAGTCTCTGGAATTAGAACAGCCCCCAGGGACTCAGAGAGGTGAACTCCCCAAGGCACAGGCCAGCTGGATACACCCACCAGGGCCCTGGGCACTCGTCCCAGGTCCCAGGGCGTGTCCCTGCCTGACTCTGATGAAGAAGAGATGGCAGTGGAGGAGGCCTGCTCAGCCTCTTCCCAGCTTTGTGGCCTGGGCCTGGCCCTTCCACCCTCTGTGCCTTCTGGCTCCTACATCAGAGCTGCAGATAAGGACGGCACTGTCCCTCCTCAGTTTGGGGGAGGATTAAGTGAAAGTGTTTGTGTGTGCAAGTGACAGGCAAAGTGCTCTGCCCAACACGGCTGCTGTGTGACTCAGTCACATCTATTCCAGGAGCCCTTCCCTTGAGGGATTGTCCCTTATTGCTGTTCTCCTCCTGCTGTTACCCTACCTGGGACCCCATTACTTCTTACCCAGATTATTGTGAGTGCCTTCAATACTCATGGGCTACAGAGAACCCGGCAGTCAGGATAAACTGAGAAAAACGTCAGTCACATCATGTCACGCCTCGCTCAGAATCATCTGAGGGCTCTGAAAAGAAGTCAGAGTCCTCATGGCCTCCCACAAAGCCCTGGAAGGTCTGGCCCCAGTGCTCTCTGATGGAAACTAACCTGTTGCTTCTCTCCCCTTCGCTCCAGCCACATGGGCCTCCCTGCTCTTTGTGGAACACAGCAGGCATGCTGCACAGAGTGCAGAATTTGTACTCCTTGACTCCTTTCCTGCTGAACACTCTTCCCCTTTGGCTAAATCCCTTACTTCCTTTTTAAGTTGTCACCAAGACATGCCTTTGTCACAAAGCTCACTCCCACTTCTCATATCTTTCCCTCCCATCTTGTTTAAAATACATCACATTCAAAGACACTCCATACTTACTAATGATGTTTCTTGATTATTATTTGGCTGTTGCTCAAATGTGAGCCCCATATTTGAGAAATTTTATTCTATTTTTGGTCACTAATATATCCTAAGCCCTTAAAACAATGCCTGGCACACAATGAGTCTTCAATAAATATCCAATGAATGGGTGAATGACAGTCATATCACCTGACACTGCACCCTCCATGCCAGCCGTAACTGCTCTACGCTGGGGATGCAGACATGAAAGAGGCACAGCCCCAAGTCTAGCAGGAGGAGGAGACATGCAAATAAAAATGTCACTGAGCATTGTAAATGCTAAGGTGGAAGATCACTTGGGTATATAAGAGGCCTCGGAAAGGCAGGGAGTCACTGTGGGGAGTAATCCAAAAAGTTTTCTAGAAGAATGGAAATTTCAAGCTGTGGATTAAAGTTGGATTTATAGACAGAAATGTATGGGCAAGGTGCAGGGTGGCAATGGCTGGGCAGGTGTAGGAGCCTGGAGGTGTTTATTTGGCTGGAGTGGAGATGGGGGAAAATGCTAGAGAGGTCAGCAGGGCCATGTGATGGAAGGTCTCGAGCACCATTCAGGGGTGTTGGTGATGGGCCAACATGGTCAGATGTGCGTTTCAGAGAACTTTGTGCAGGTGGTTGGAAGGGGGCCAGACCTGAGGCAGGGACCGTCGAGGAGATAGGGGAGCAACACCTGAGAGTGAAGATGACAGGGGAGGCGGGCGAGAAGAGGGGCAGAGGACTTGGCTTCCAGCCACATGACGGATGTTAGGGGGCAGGTGGAATGTGAGAATGGTTTTCTCTCCTCCACCTTCCACTCCTCTCTGTCCCTCAATTCCCACTTCATCGGATGGCAAGTCTTGACTGTTCTACCTCCAGTATTTTTTAAAACTCTTCCCTCTTCTCTCCTTTTGCCTCTGCTTGAAGCCAATCCCTCACCATCTCTTTTTCTGGGCCACTGAAGTAGCTTTCAGACTGGCCTCCCCCTTCATGCCTCAGTCCAACGGCCACAGGCAACCAACATCATCGCCCCACACCACAAATCTTATGTCCTTGTCATGCCTTAACACCTTCAGTGGCTCCACATAATCTTCCTTCACAGAGGGAAGTTCAGAACCCTTAGTGCAGCACACAATTTCCTGCCCAGTCAGGCCCAACCTCAATCCTTAGTCATATAAGCCATCACAGCCTATATCCACCATTACAGCCTGTATCCACCATTACAGCTGTATCCACCATCACAGCTGTATCCACCATCACAGCCTGTATCCACCATCACAGCCTGTATCCACCATCACAACCTGTATCCACTGTTACAGCTGTATCCACCATCACAGCCTGTATCCACCATCACAGCCTGTATCCACTGTTACAGCTATACCCACCATCACAGCCTGTATCCACCATCACAGCCTGTATCCACTGTTACAGCTATACCCACCATCACAGCCTGTATCCACCATCACAGCCTGTATCCACTGTTACAGCTGTATCCACCATTATAGCTGTATCCACTATCACAGCCTGTATCTGCCCTTACACAAGCTCTCTTCTCATATCAGGATGCTCCTTCCTCTAATCTTATCTCACAAGAATGCTTCTGCATCCCTTCTTCTCTAAACCCCTCCCCTGGCTCCACATTTTCCTTTCACTGAAGGAACCCATTTGGACTCTAAAGATTTTGTGCACAAAAGGTCGAGTAGAAAAGCAATTTCCCACCTTCTGTGAATCACAGTCCCCTTAGTACATACTAAAAACCCACAACTCATTTTTTTAGCCTTAATTCCACTTATTTGTAAGTTTGACTTTCTGATCACTTTTTCTCTTAAAGTGCAATGGACCTCTGTGTTCAGCGCCTGGGAAAAAAATAAGCAGATGGTGGAGCTGGGTGGTGGCGGTGGTCTGCTCCCTGTGCCCTTGAGGGGTCCACGCTCATTTGGGGCCTTAAAGACCCAGAGAGGTGTAAGGGGCTTGAACTCAGTCTCAGCCTCAGTCCCCATCTAGGAAGCACCTACTGTGTGGCTGACTCAGTGTGTGCCTTCTCATTTATTCATCAAGATGACGTTGGAAGTCGGCTATTACAGCCCCAAGGGCTCTAGCAATTTGCCAAAAGCCTGAGTGTAGAACAGAGGGATGGGGTCTAACCCCAGGGCTCCTGACTCTGTGTCTCATGCTCTTCACTGCCCACGGAGCTGTGCCCTCTTGCCCAGCAAGCTCCCTTGTATCTTCCCTCCCACCTTCCCATGAACCTCGCTCCTCACAGCTCCTGGGCTGATTCCAGTGGACCCACCAGAGGGCAGTTTCACTGGCACTCCCACCCAGAAGTGTGTCTTCCTTCAAAATTCTCCCTTTGCACTGGAGGCCTCAAAAAACTGAAACCAAATTACAACTGTTGTGATCATTCCTTGGACTGAAGTTAAATATAAAACATCACCACCTCAACATCTCGGACACCCATTCTCACGTTGTTTTGTCTGGAACTTTGTACCTGCTGATGTTTCTTGAGAATAGTTCTCAAGATTTTACCTGCTCTTACATTTGTCCAGGGTCTTTGGTCAAAGGCAAAGGAGTTCTAAGCAGTAACTGTTTCTCTCTCCCTCCAGTGAAACAACCAAGAGGCTGAGTTGCTGGGGCAGGTGGGGATGGGGAATCATCCCAAAGCCCTAAATAACAGTCACTTCCTTTCCGCAGGATCAGGGTGGGCTGAGTGGTTCAACTCTCCATCCACACCCCATGGGCTTAAAAACATCTGTTCAATAGCACCTCTTTCCAGCACTATGGCAAGGGTGGTTTTGACATCCTTCCTCTTTACCTGACAAGCCGAAGCTGCTTGAATGCGAGCATCCCCATCTCTCGCCCCCACCTCTTTCTCCTCTGCACCACGGTGCTAATTCTTACCCTCACCACAGCCAATGCCATGGAAACCAGGCCTGGACTCTACCATTTCAAAGAAAAGAGGACTGTTTTATTAGCAGAACATCCAGGCAGAGAAGAATTGCAGGAAGATAAGAGAAGCAGAGAGAAGAAGGAAGGTGTATTCTTGGCAGCTCAGAAGGACATCTTTGGTGAGAGAAGAAGGCTTGAGAAAAGCACTTGATTGGGGCCCATTTCTCTAACTGCTCCCTGGCAGTCCCACCCCAGAGGGACCAGCCTTTGAGGAAACTGTCAGAAATCGGTAAAATGAGACATTACCTTCATGCCACCAAGGTAAGTATGACGGGCAGGGAACGGAGACATTTCCCGGAGAAGAATGAGGCCAGCATACATACCGATCAAAGGTTCCATTACAAAATATGCCTGTGGAGAGAAGAAGGGCTGAATGAACAGCGCCACCAGAGCCTGAGGTCCATGGATGGAGACAGAGGCGGCGGGAGCCCAGAGCCCGCCCTCCCGGCATCAGAAGCTGTAGTAACCTGCACAGGGACCCGCATGGGCATCCAGCTCTGGGGGCAGGTCAAGGACAAGGAACAACATGCGGGGGACAGGAATGCTTAACGCAGCCCTAAGTGCTGTGGCTTTGTCTAGACGATGAGACCTCTGGCAGTCGTCCAGTCAATTATGTCAATGTGCACGTCACGCTGGTTTTGGTTTACTTTACGTGAAATGAGCTCTCACAGAAACTGAGGGTCAGGAGGACACTTGGATGTTCAGCCAGCACCTCATGTTCCATATGAACTAAATAATTGTCAAGCCTTCACTAATTACACCTGGAACACCCTTACTGTGAAATGTGCAAGAGGACCGGTGGTTTTGTCATGTGTACCTGACACAAGCACTACCTGGTCATAGTTCTCCGTCTGAACGCTGCTGATCCATTGATCATTATACAATACTTGGGCCATCTGCAGTGCTTGATGAGGAGAAGCTACAAACATAAGCCCCAGCCTTGTAGGCCTCCCAGAATCAAATGAAAGGGTTTCAGGGTGGATCTCAACTGTCTGTTTCACAGGCCCCTTACTCCTGGGAACCCAGCATCATACCCCACCATCTGCTCCCCGTTAGGCTAGAACTCAGGGTGAAGTGTCATGTTACGGGCATTGGGACCCTACAAACGCAGACCAGCCAGGTGCCAGCTGGCTCTGGCACCTCTCGGACCTGGCTACCAGGTGTCAGCACCCTCTCGTGAGTGGTCCTGAGCTGCTCCAGGCGTGGCTCCAGCTGAAGAGGGCCTGCCACACTGGGGCATCAGAAAGCAGGGTTCCCCGAAGGGGAGGTGGTGATTGCTGCCTGCTGGGCTGAAGGAGTTGTTACAGGGGGAAGGGTGGGCTTGAAGGTGGGCACTGCCTTTAGGTCAGGAAAAGGGACAGAAAGTTTATGGTGTCTCCTCAACCAGGAGAATAAGGTGGGGCCAGCTTTTATCTACAGTCCCCAGTGCCCAGAGGCAAGGAGCTAATGCTTCTTATCTTTTTTTTCTTTGAAAGAAAAAAAAAAGGAATCTTCTATTTCTTAAAAAAAAAAAAGAAATGGAAGAATCTGAACACACCCAATGAGTCAGTATGTGGGCAGGAGAAGCCATGGACTGACCAAACTATTAACATATTTGCTAGAATGCTCTGAACTTAGTGTAGACCTGGGAAAGGGAAATGTTATGACTCAGCTTTAGTCATAGGACCTAGGATGCTGCCCCCTTCACCCCACACACACTCAACAGATTCCCAGGTCAATCTATCACAGTTGCTCAAATTATGTGATTAGGTAATAAATGCTCAGTGACAGATGGCTTTTTATCAAAGATGGCCACAAGTATATGCATCCAATCTCACATGCTCTTTTGTAATGAGAGGTGGGGTGTCTGCCCTTGAACCTGAACTTTGTAACTATATAACCAACAGAACATGGCAGAGGTGACTTCCAAGGCTAGGTCATAAAAGGCAACCTGGCTTCTGGTCATCTTGCTCTTGGAATCCAGCCACCACGCAGTGAGGAAGCCCGGGCCAGACAAAGAGGCCGCGTGGAAGTTCCCCCACCAACATTCACAGCTCAACTCTCACCTGAGAGCCTGCATCAGCCAGCAGATGGGCATGAACAAAACTTGGGATGTTTTCAACCCCCAACCTTTGTATTCCAACTAAACTTCAGACATTGTAGAGCGGAAACAAGCCATCCCCAACATGCGCGGTCTGAATTCCTGACCCACAGAAACCGTGAGAGATCACAAATGATTATTATTAATGATGTAAGCCAGTAAGCTTTGGGACCACTTATTACACAGCCACAAATAACTAATACTTGTGCTTACCAGAAGGTTTTTTGAGTAAGTCTCTCAGGCACTTCTCTTTGTACTGAGCCCACTTTCGAGTTGTCTCCTGAAGGAGAGATCCTGAAATCTGAGCAGAGAAGACTATGGTGACGCCCTAGTCAGCTGCAAGCACCAGAGTGGCCCTGTTATCATCTCATACCATGGTTCTCAAACATTTCAACCACAGGGCCCATAGTGGCTAAACCAAGAAATAGAATTTCTTTGGCATCTTAAGTTCTATTTAAAAGATACATATGAATTTTACATTTACTCCATAATCTAATCCTATTGGTTTTAATACAATGATGAAAGGTTTTTTTCAAAGTCTTCGAATGAGGTGGACATTTCAAGAGGATACAAAATACTCATCCTGAAGTTTCACACCCTACCAGAAGAATAGTTGCATGCTTCTAAGACCATGCGGATATCAAAGAGAGGAGTAGCAAACAAAGAAGTCCTAATTGTGTGAGAGAGGAGGACCAGAGGAATGGCAGGGGCCTGCACCCTGCCACTTAGGGGCCCAAACCTTCCCACCTAGGGACCCCCACCCTCCCACCCAGGTGTCTGCACCACCCTGCCCAGGTGTCTGCACCCTCCTGCCCAAGTGCCTGGAGGTCCCAAATCGAAGACGTTGGGCAGACAGATGCTTGGCTATTGAACTGAGGCTTTGAGATTTTTTTCTTCCTGACATTAACTACTTCATTCCATGGAACCTTAGATATACATAATATAATTTTGGGGTCTTCCAGGTAATTGAGTTATCTAACAACTTCTAATTGAATGTCTGTACCACTTCTTTTGGCTTTAAGAGGGATTTTTTTTTTTTGCACTGACCAGGTGGCTCATTTGGTTGGAGCTTGCAGTTTGATCCCTGCTCAGGACATATATGGAATGCAACCAATGGATATTTCTCTCTCACATAAATGTTTCTCTCTCTCTCTCTTTCTCTGTATCCCCCCCCACTTCCTCTCTCTTTAAAATCAATAAATATATCCCTGGGTGAGGATTACAAAGAAAAGATGGGTGATTTTTCTTCTTCAATTTACTCATTTTTATTGAGCACTTATTGTGTGCCAGGATTCGCATTAGGGAGGAATTGAAGGGGATGAATCTCTGAATACAAGGCCCTAGAAAAGGGCTGGAATTACTGTTCTCATTCTCCCTCATTTTCCTGATAAAGAAACAGAGGCATAGCTGTGGGGTGGGGCCAGGGAAGGGGGCATGGACATGGGAGGGTTTAAATATGTGATCTGGGCTAAGATGAACCACTAATTAGTTGGCTTTGTGCCTTTGTCATGTCTCACCATCGAATGCCAGGTAGATAACCTGAAAGAATGAAGTAGGACAGGTTTAGCAACAGGAAGCCAGGGGAGCCTGTTGTAAATTGGAAGATACTCCACCTAAAAGTATTCAAGCATACATATATACACACACACTACCTTAAACTGAACAAAACAAAACAACAAGGAAAAAATAAATCTGTCAGCTTGACAGGTAGCCAGTTTTTACTTCCTGAGTAATCAGTCCAATTCACCCTTTCTGCCCATCTTGCCCCACCCCCCAGGACTACACCATTCACATTGGGGTCAGTGAGTAGTTCCTTTGCATTTCTTCCAGAGAACCACACAGCCAACTTTTTGAAGGACTGGTATAGTCATCATGAGACTAGAGGGCCCAAAACTCTCTCAATTTTTAGCACATTTGGAGCAAAGCATCCCTCAGCCAAAAGAAATATCAAGTCCCACTAATTAAGTAAGTAAGTCCCCAAAACTTAATAAGTATTTTACATCCCAACAACTTGGCACCTACTGGGTACTGAACAATTTCTCAAACCGAAGATTCAGGTTGGACACAACCACCTTTGTTCCACATTGGTTTTTGTGCAGTACTTTCTTTTCATCACAGCAACTTTAGAAAACCCAATATCACCAAAAGTAGCCCAGCATGATATAATGTTGAAGTCATGAACTGTCTCCAGCTGGTAATCCACACAGCTGTCACAGATGGCTGTTTCCCTTGAAAAATTAAAATATCTGAGAGCACCCCTCTGAATCCCCAGCAGTGCCCTGGAGCATCTTAGCACACCATTTGGGGACTATGGGATTACCCAATAAATAATAATGATGGTGATAATGATGATAAGATTATTGGCATTCATCCCTTGGTTTCAGTTTCCAATGAGTTTTGAATCTCCATTAATAATATATGTCTCTGTGCTATGGCCCAAGAAAGAAAATGAGAGTTTATTAACACATTAGGCTGTTTTACATCCTAATGGGAACCTAACTAACTCTATATTAGACTTATAAATTTAGCAGAGAAGTTGATAAACAGATTGTAAATTTCCATAATCTGCCAAGTCACAAAAGGAAGACCATTTCTTGGATAGAGCGCTATGTGCATTCTTGGGAGCTTCCCTGGGATCTGGCTGAGGAAGAGACAATAAAATCAGTGTCATACATGTGAGCTGTCCCTGAACTGGCATGTCCCTACACCCTGCTCTTTGCCAGGACTAAGGGCCGTGTGCTCAAAAACAGAAGAAAAAAAATACAGACCATAAGCAACACTAACTTTGGTTAGTTTAGGAAGGCAAAACTCAGACTATCTTCCAAGGTATTTGTCCTAAAGACACCAAAAACACAAGAGGCAAATACAAGTTCAGCCACAGCCAGATCCAAACACAGTTATAAAAAAAGGAGGTCCACAAGTGGATGTTTTCTAACTGGAAAAGCCCAGCATGATTCTGATCCTCTTCTTGCTTAGGTAACAGCATCAAGGACTAACTTGATGGAGAAGGGATTCAGGAAAACAGGGAAAAAAGCATTCTGTTGACCTTCTTCAAATAAATCTTCTAATATTATTTGTAATGAAAGGACTATACTTCATTGTAAATAAAATTAAAGTTACAGATAAGCAAAGAGGGAGAGGATAAAAATCAGAAATTATTATCTCTGCACACAAGCATTCTTTTCCTCCTTTTCTTTTTTATTTTAACCAAAAAGGAAATCATATTGTTCTGTAGCCTCTTTTTCGCTAGAAGGTATATTGTGAATATATTTCCATTTCAAGAACTATTCTTCTAAAACACCATTTTAACAGCTATATAATTTTCTAGGGATAAATGTGATATAATTTATTTTTTTAATTTTCTAGCTTTGGAGACTAGTGTTGTTTTAACTATTTGCTAATATAAATGATGCTGTAATGAAAATATTCATAAACATTCAAGCACATCTTTATTAAGAGAAATTCTCTAAACTGGAATTGCTGCATCATAGTGTATGCATTTTTAAAGAAGTTGATAATGTACTGCCAAACTATGCATACTTACCAAAAAAAATTTTATTTATAAATATGTACCTCTTTACAATCCCATCAGCAATGTATGAAAGAACCACTAATTCATTTCTTGAATATACTTAAAAAGTTTTATATTTTCGACTCTCAAACAACTGCTAATTAACTTGAATGAGTTGTGTGGGGGGAGGGAGGGAGGAAGGAGGCCAAAGCCTTATTTCCCTGCTTGAATGTAGAAACAAACCTATTCCTGAGAATTCTCATTAAGTGAATTTTTTGAAGACTTCCTGCCAGAAAACACACCACAATCATTTATAATCCATGCAGGGAAAGTATCTACGAGCAAAATGCACCATGAAAGTCTACACAAAGCCTCATAATATAAACATTTGGAGAACCAGGAGGAGGGCTGTCAGGATTATATCGACAAACTGCAGGACAGACAGAGCCAAGGGCTTCTGAAAACAGACCAAGTGGCAGAGGGGGGCGGGGCCATGCTAACAGGCACATTATTGATTATGCAAGTACCAAAGTGAAGGAGTAAAGGTGTGACTTTGTCCCTGTCTAAGCTGGCCAGAGGCACTGCAGAGCCTGCTGTCTTAACATGTAAATATTCATATGTCAACAGCTTCTAAGGAATGCTAAGGAGGAACACAGTTCTTCAAATATCCTGCAGAGATGTAATGGCTCCCGAGCTGCATGGTCACTGGTGATTATTTAACTCCTGTGAATCTTAATCTCCCCATCTGTGAAATGGGTTCAGTAATAATAAGTTTCTCAGAGGCTCATTGTGGGGTTTAAGCAAAGTGATTTAGGACAAGTATAAAGTTCTGCAGCAGTACTGAGCCCCTAATCAGCCATCAATGCGTAGTTGTGGACAGAAGGCAAACAAAACTAGATAACTAGGTGAATATATTGTTTTAACATGAGACAGAGAACTGAAGCAAGGGTGAGGGCTCTGTGTCAACTTTCCGACAACAGACCCTCCACTGACCAATTAAGTCCTGGGGTAGGAGGCAGGCCAGGACCACCAGCCCTCAAAAATGTTCTGGTCACTAACCAAGAGGAGGCTACCACCCTGCAAGAATTCCATGAAACCATCAATTGGGCTCACATCCACAATCTGCTACAAGGGCTTCAAGGCTGCCTCAGAGAGAATTTGATGCAGAAAATTTAGTCAAGGCTTTCTGCCCTTTTGGTCCTGGGCTAGCACCAGAGAAAGCCTAATAAGGTGACCACATGAGGCCTGGCAGCCCAGCCCTCATCCATGGGGGTGGGAGGGATTAGAATTCCCAGGCTGCAACCAGGGACTAACCCTGCCCATGGATCAAAGGAACGAGAAAACAGGCCGAGAGGCACCTTCCTTACTCAGGTGAATGGAGCTGGGGTCCTTCACATCACAGCCCAGGATAAAAATGGAACCTTGGGAAGGGAAGGAGCTAAGGTTCCAGCTCCTTGGATGAGAGTAAGACAAGCTACCGGAGCGCCCAATGAAAGAGGACGGTTGCACACATCAGAGTACACCCTTGCAGCTCACAAACCTCAGGTCATGGAGCTACATTTACTGATATAGAAAAATGTTCAACCTCCCGAGACTCAGTTTTCTCTCCTGCAAAATGGGGTTCACAGGACTCCCCCCACAGGGCTGCTGGGAACGTGCCATGAAATCATATAAGGAAGGCGCCTGGCATCAGCCCTGATGCATGGTAAGTGTGCAGTAACAATGTTGGCCAGTGTTTTTTATTAGTGAATTTTGTTAGGAAAAAAGCAGATTGCAAGATATATAGTAAGATTCTGTTTGTTACTTTTTAAAATAACTATATATAAATAAATGGTAGAAAAATGTCTGACAGTATGAGCCCCGAAATGTGAGTGAGGATCATCAACTCTGGGTGGTGGCATCACAGTGAGCTCTAGTCTGTATTTACACTTCTTTGGATTTTACACGTTTACTTCTTAAAACAATGAGCATCCTATATTGTTTAATAGGAAGAAAGAAAAAGAAGAAAGAAGGAAGGGAGGGAGGGAGAGAGGGAGGGAGGGAGGGAAGGAGGAAGGAAAGAGAGGAGAAAGGAAAGCAAAAGAAAACAACCAACCATTCAACCTAAATCCTCACACTTGAGACCATGATAAAAGTGGACAGGAGGCCGCATGCAGCAACACTTCCAAGGTTTGCACTGACAGGGGAAAATACTCATAATATAATGTAAAGGGAAAACCAAGATACAAAATGTTTTGTGCATCATTATTTCAGCTGTGTAAAAAGAAAAAAACTGCATAGAAAAAGGATTTGAGGAAAAGATGCCAAAATATTAACAGTAATTACATCCGAATGCCACGATAATGGTTAATCATTGTCTTAATACACCTTTATATTTTCCAAATTGCCTACAAGAGGCCTAAATTTCCTCTATAATCAGAAAATATGTACAACTGATAATAATAACAATAATAGTAATAATAAAAACTGCTCTTACTTGTTTGATGGAAACCAGAAGCAGCAGAGCAAGAAAGGGCCGAGCAGGGGGCTGCAGAGAGCACATCCCGGGGGAGGGGAGAGGACCAGCCCCTGGGCTGCAAGGACCCCAGGCCCTGCCCTGCTCTGCACCGGCCTCGTCTTCCTTGCTGCACTTTCACAAGTGCGGGCACATTTGTCTCACAGTCCAGGATGTACCATAGGCGGTCTCCTCTTGCATTCCTCTTTGTGCAGAGAGGAAATGTTTGCACAAACCCTCTCCACACCACGTCAAGAGCGTCTAGACCAATCTACTGAATCTCCAAAGTTTCTCATTAGCAGTGGCTCAGCCCCCACCCAGCCCCTGCAAAGCCGGGGAGGTTTTTCCCAGACCTTCCCCGAGTCAGCTGTGTTTTCTGGGACATCCTCAGCAGAGGCTGAGGAGAAAAAGCAAGGTGGTGAGTAGGTTCCACCCCTGAGGCCTGGGTCAATCCACAAGACTGGGATGCAACAGTCTTGGGTTCAAGCCTTGGATGAACAGCCAGCAGGGGAGGATGGGCCTCTCGAGCCAGTTCTGAGGTGGGTGTCACCTTAAGGGAGACATTTCTTCTTAAGGCATGAAGATTGTCCAGGCCAGCCTAAGCCCAGCCACCAAGATTGTCCAGGCTTCTCTGGGCCCTGGATGTGCCAAGTCTTCACAAGAAACAGCTGCCCAGCCCCAGAGAGAGCAGCTCCTGACCCACAGTCTGAAGCAAAACCCCAATCGGAGACTTGAGTTCTGTCTACATAATAGCAAAACAACACACTGAAAAGCCAAACATGCACTCCTCTTCATTGCCCACTTGTTCTGAACTTGTCATTCAGCCCACCTGGCAGAGCCTTTTATGGAGTACACAATCCACCACTTACTAACTACCATATTTGTACTTCCTCTTCACAATTCACATTTACGAAAGCTTTGCACCCAACATCCTGTTTCATTCCTCCTCGCAATACCCCTGTGAGGGTGATATTTTTCCACTTGACAGCTGAGAAACTTAGGTTCAGAGAGGTTGGTTTGCTAGTCCAAGGCCACACAGCAAGTAAGTGGCAGAGCCAGGATACTAACCACAGCTGTTTGGTCAGTTGCCTTATCTTATCCTAACCCTCAAGGCAAGTTCCATTTCTCTGGTAGTCTTATCACTGCACCTCCGAAAGGCTCTGCTTGTCCCTTCTCACCCCACCTCTTTGTCTAGCTCCCTGAACCCACTTCCAAGTCTTCCCAGCCTCCCAAACTGGAGAGCCAGGGGAATGTATCCAGACTGGATGAAATGCAGGTCAGCAAGAGATAAAAAGAACATGTACCATTCAAGGTGAACCATAGGAGCGCATCTTGGTTAACTTATCTGAATGAATTCTGAACAGCTGGAGAAAAACAGGGGAGCATCAAACACTTAATAGAAACCCCTGGAAGTCTTAAGAACTCCACTTGGCAAGATTTTAAACCTCATCCATGAATGCTCATAATGAATAAAGACCTCCACAGGAGACTCTTCTAATGATGTGACCTCTGGAATCAATGTGGTCACCTCTTTGGGACAACAGAGAGCAGGGTGACATGACATAGAGGGATGAAAGTGCCTGGGGCTGGGCCCGATCCTTTTCAGTGTAGCTATAAAGTTGTTCTGTGCCTGCACAGTCAAGGCTGTCTTCAGATGCCTGCCTGGTGAGAATATTCAATCTAATCTCTTTTCCTCAAAAACATCCTTTTTTCTGACGGTCAGATGGAGGACACTGAGTGACAAAACATGGTACACCAAATGCACACAGCTCCTAAGTGGCTGATGGTGCAGCTCCTCAGCCTTCCCCAGGCTTAACCCAAATGCCACTGCCCTTTCCTCCTAGCTGCCTAGGCTTGTAGATTCTCACCTCTACCTGGGGTCTGCAGGAGGTGTCTCCCATGTAATCAAGAACCTGTATGTTTCAGATGCCATGTGGAATCTTCTGCTACTCACCTGCCCTCATGGTTTCACGAATGTCCTCTGTCCAAGAAGCAATGTACGTCTCCCTCATGGCACCAGTCCTGGAGAGCCCCCTTTGCAAGGGCTTGAGTGATGGACCAGGGACTCTGCCTGCCAGTTTTTGAGGCTCTGGGATAGTGCTGAATGCTGAACCCATGTGGGGGGCCAGCAGCCTGCCCTGTTCTGCACAGCATGTAGGCCTGAAGCAGGCCACCTGTACCCCGAGCCTCTCAGGCCCCTCGGACAGAAGTCCCTTACTGTGGGGCTGGGCAGAGAACAGGCTATGCAGGTCTTGAGATTCCCCAGATCCAAGGCTGAGGACCCTGCTCAATGCCAAAGGTGAGGGTCGGAGGCTACACCCAGAAACCTACTCAAACTGCCCCTGGCCTTCCATCAAAACCCAACACCCTCCACAACAGCCAGAAGGTGGAAACAAACCAAATGTTTGGATGAACAGAATAAGCTATCTCCACTCAATGGGATATAATTCTACCTTTAAAAAGAAGGAAATTCTGACCTGAGTAAATGTGGATGTACCTTGAGGACATCAAGCTAAGTGAAATAAGCCACTTATAAAAAGGCCAATTCCGCTTACGCCCAGAGTGATCAAACTCACGGATCAGACTCATGGAGACAGGTAGTGGGGTGGAGGGCGCCAGGGCCTGGGGGGAGGAATGGAGAGTGTTGCCGGGGTGCAGCAGTTCAGTCTCGAGAGATGAAAAGCGTTCTGGAGATTGATTGCACAATGTGAATGCACCTAACTGTGCACTTAAAATGACTAAGATGGTAAACTTTACACTAGGACATTTCACTACAATTGGAAAAAAAAAAAAACAGAACTGAAAACCAGCGCTCTCACAAACATCACCATCCTGGGGAGGACCAAGATGAGAGCCCACCCGGCTCTGTGCTCCCTCTAGGGCCTCTCAGGCAACAGGCACTGCCACCACTGCCGCAGGCTGCAGCGCACCCATGCCCCAGGAATGTCACGGAAGACTGTGAGAAGGCCAGATGGCAGGGCTGAGGAGGGTGGGAGCCAAGGCGAGGAGGCAGAGGAGGGGCCCACTGCTCATCCGATGCCACACACCTCATTTAGCCATGGACAGGGCCCAGCGGCAGCAGGCACTGGCCCTCCTCCCCATCTGCCTCGCCCTCGCCTTCTCCCTCACAGCCCTGGGAAGCAGCCACTGGTATGAGGGGACCCGGAGGGTGGCCAAGACACTGTGCCAGGACCACACGGGAAGGCCGCACTGCATTCATTTCAGTGGCAATGGCAGAATGGACAACGAGAGCCAGGCCGTCCAGTACATTTGGGAGATGGGGGACGACAAGTTCATCCGACGCAGGTTCCACGTGGGGCTCTGGCAGTCTTGCGAGGAGAGCCCCGGCGGCGCAGGTGAGCACGGCCCACAGGTTGGGGTGGCAGGTGGTCGGCAGCGTCCAAGAGCAGGAGCTCTGGAGCAGGCTGACAAGCTATATCCTCGCGCGAGTCCCCGCACCCCTCCAAACCTCTGTTTTCTCATCTATAAAATAGGAACAGTAGCAGTATAAAGATTAAATGACCAGATTCACACAGTATCAATATTTATTAAACTGCATCCCTGCACTTTCAAGGGGTCCGGGAACAGAAGGTTCTCTTCGAACACAGACCTTTAACACCATCCATGGGAAAGGAACCCTTCTTCAGATCACCTACCAGAAGCAAAACCCTTAACAAGTTAGGCCTTTATCTGTGTCTCTCTCTGAAAAAACCCAGCAAAGTAAAAATTATTTTCTCAGCTCAGAAATGAGGAAACTGAGGCTCAGAGAGTTTTATCCCACATAACTGACAAGCCCCTCCCCTTCCCCACCACATTTTTCAGCCCCAATTCATCAACATCTTTTGAAGTTCTGTGAGTCTGACAGATTAGCGGTGAGGGAAATAGTGAAGGAAGAGGAGAGAGAAGATGGAAGGGAAGGATGAGTATTTGGAGCACATACATTGAGCAAAGAGTGTCTTTACCTCATAAAGAGCTGGGGGTGGGGAGTGGGCTCCTCTGTGTGGGCAGCAGGGCCCACACCCAAGGCCTGGCTGCGGGACAGGATGCTCGTCCCTCCCTGGGGCAAAGGCCCCCTCCAGGTGGAACGGAGCAGACCTCCCATCCCACTGCTCTCTTGCCTCAGGCCGCCTCTTCTTTTCTCATACCTATAGCAGTGCCTGTTTATCCCTGAGATCTAAGGAAAAGGCAACAAGAGAGGGCTCTCTGAGATGCTATCCCTGCCCCATCCCTGCCCCATGTCTGTCCACCCTCATGACAGACACAAGAGGCTCAGACCCTGCATTCTGCAGTGTCTCCAAGGCAGTCTCAGATGCTTGGTTTGGAAAATACATGCAGGCAAATTGTTTGGGAACTTCCACTCCCTTTCCAAGTGCCCACCTGAGGACAGCCCACTTCTGTTTCCATAGCTACATGTGAGGTCGTGGTTATCAGACTCGTGGGCGACTGTAGGTGCACACCACAGACGCCCACAAGTCTGTCCAACTTTGGGTGACTGGCCCTGGGATTCCGACTCACCAGATCTTAGATGGGGTTTAAAAGTCTGCATTCCTTTAAAAAGAATTTAGCCAAGGTACCATCTGCACATAGATAGATAATCAAATCATTTTGAAAGCTTATAATAAAAACGAAGAGTCCCCTGCTCCTTCCTGCTCCATAACCTAGTCCCGACCCTCAGGCGAAACCACATTTGGCCTAGTCCTTTCTTCTGGGAGTTGTCTCTGTGTTTACAAAGACATTGCTGTCTTCGTATTAGGCATTCTCTCCTGACTTCCTGTTGTAACAGATAAACCTCTGACGCCACCACATCCCATGTCTGCTCGGCCACCCTCCTAATGTAGTCATATCGATGCTTCATTTCAACCAATAAGTCAGCTGTTTATTTAGACTATATAAATATTGCTCATGACAAAGTCAAGGAGGTACTACCATTACATTAAATTTCTTATACAGCTTATTTGAATTCCCCAGAATTTCTAATTGCCTTTTCTTTTCCCATCCTCATAGCATTGTTGTTATTCCCCTCAGCTCTCTTTTCTTTCTGGTGTTCTCTTTATTTCTGCTGAGCTCCCCCATTCCCCAGGCACAGCAAACCCTGTGGAAAGGGGGAACTCGCTGTAGTGTGGAACAAATTCACTAAAAGCCATCTCCACAGAACCCACAGGACTAGACAAATGAGGAAAGGTGAGTGGACCACAGTGGTGAGAACTGAGGTAAAACTAAAACAAGGGAAAATATGGTCATGGTTGCAATGAAGACACACACATGCTATGGGAGTAGAACGGAGGAAGAGGTTGCTTACAGCTCTGGGCATGGGGAAGCTTTTGGGAGGGAGGCGGCCACTGCGCAGGCCTCAAAGCAGAATGGCGATTTTAGTAGGAGGAGGTTGGGCATGCAGATGTCCCAGGCAGACAGCCGAGTAAGCAAATGTCTGAAGCAGGACAGCACAGGCGTTGGTGTTGGAACACAATGCAGGGCAGCAGAAGGTTCATCACAGAACTTAACTCACATGGCTCTTCACTGTCACCTCAGGCAGCTTCTCCTCCCCTACAGCATAAGGTCATGGTCACTCTAGGACAAGGAACTGAATGGAACAACATCCCCTAGGATGAAAAAGCCTAGCGGGAGAAAATTAGAAGCATTACTATTTGTCATGTCAGAGAGACAAGACCATAGTACAACCTGAACCGGTGAACAAGAGTTAGGAAATGAGGTGGATGAGAACTGTTTCCCCAGTGACAAGGGGGCTGACTGGGAGAGGGGACTTTTCCTGGGCTGGGCTTGAGGAAAGGGTGGAGCTGGAAACCTCATCTCTTCAGCAACAGCAAAACTCAGAGATTCAGGGAGGACCAGACTCAGCTGCAAACTATCTAGCTACCTGTGGCACGTGCCTAAGATTCTTACACAAACACTATGCAGATTGACGATCAATTGTCCCTGAGCAGAAAGCACAGTGAGTGTCTGTGTAAAGATCTTTCAGGCTTCTTCCACTAGAGACGGGAGTCCTCTTGGTGCTTCTGTCCAGCCATAGAGTGCTGACCACACACACCACCTTCTCGTGGATCACACCACACATGCATTTTCATCCACTGTCAGTCAGGAGTGCGTGCTGCAGCCCAAGGAGGGCCGATGTTCTCAGTGATGCACGGACAAGGCCAAGTAGAATCAAAGAACGTACTTACCCCTTTCTGATTTATGTGCATCTTATATCCTTGAGATCAAACCAGAAAAAGACTTTAATAAGTGCTTTGCTGGGTTTACTCAAAGATTACTCCACAGAGATGCTGGTTGAGATATTCTTTGTAAAATTAAATAAAGAGAATTTCAATAGTCAAACAAATTTGGAAAATGTCACCTATTACATTTTCTTCTTGGAAATTCACAGTGTTCAAGAGTACATTAAATGCCTGAGAAGTCCCACAACAAAAAAAACCTGTTTACTGACACATTTCTCAGTATTTCCTACAAAAAAAATCTGTATGAAATAAGGATTAATGTTTTTTAGAGACTAGTGTTCAGTCTCCCCTGAGTGGGACACTCTTTGGAAAAGTGATCTAGAACAACAGACTCATTTTTCTGGTGGTGAAACTAGACTTAGAAATGCCCTGCTGAAGAGTATACAGCCAGACACCAATGAGCTACACATGCACCTCGAATTTCTTAACTCTTAGCTAGACTTTGTCTGGTACCCCACCATCACCAAAACTTAACTGAAGGGCAGTTCATTGTCTTATAATTATCAACAAACCAGTTTGTGTCCATCAGTCTGAAAAGCCTCCACTCACATTTTCATATGGTTCCTAATATAATGCCATCAGGTAAACCAGGGTCTCTCAAGAGTGTCATCATTTTAGTAAGAAGGAGGAAAGGAGGACAGGACACCTCTCCCCCCAGGAGAATATTATCACCATGTGTTATGAGATACCCCTGAAGCAAAATATTTAGAATTACATTTTTACCAATGCTGACTAAAATAACAGCAAACACATAAGAGTATAAAACACAAGGTATTCATCAGAGGTTGCACATAAATGCTTACAGAAGGTAGTAACGAAAGGGAATGGAACAAGCTGGCAAGGAATGCCAATGACCTTGAAATCTCCTCCCCCGCTGTACCTTGCTAGGCTCAGCCTTCTCAGGGCCTCCACTGGCTGGGGAAGGCAGGTACCCAAAGTTCCATGAGAACTCTCCCGGGGTCTGGGAAACTTTGCACAGAAAGCCTGTGTGCCTCCGAGTGCTGCGGGGCTCCACTGGGAGGCTACTCCACACAAACATCTGCTATTTTGTCTAATTTATCCCAAGTGCCTGGGCGATGCAGAGGGGCGTGGGAAGGCACCAAGCAGAGCTTTAAAGAGAGAGTCAGAAGGTGTGAGGGGCGCCAGGGAGCCCTGGCGGGAAGGACTCTGCCCTGAGAAGGGTGTGCCTGGGGGCTTCCTGGGTATTTTCCCTCTGAATTACTCCATCTCTGACCCCTAAAGGAGGACCTACCTAGGGACTCTGCACCTGAAGTGCTTTTTCAGGACAGCCTCTGCACGGTCACCTGGGAGAGCGCTGCACTTCTTTCCAAATGCCTGGCATGCCTCTGAGGGAGACAGCACCTCTGAGTCCGCCCTCTGAAATGAACACTCGGAATGAAAAGGCCTAGTTGGGCAAAATGTCCTTTTCCCTAGGCTAATGAATTAGTGAAATGTATTGATTTCCGATTCTATGCTGCTCTGCTAAACTCAGAAAGTTTAAGGGCAGAGCGGCCTGGACACCCCATAAAGGGTGGGGTTACAAGCAAATAAGGCGGGACAGAGGCAATCTCCAGGGACTTGGGCACCTTCTGCTGGGCTGGCTGCCAGGCGGCACAGCCTGACCAGCCAAGTACTGTCAGGCTACGCAGCACCCGCCACTCTGGCTTCATGGGATTTATAAAGATTTTGCTTTTTAATCCTGCTGGCTTTATTCAAAAGGAACACCACTTCTGGGGATTGATAGGAATCAAGGGGTCACTATGGTCTGACTGTTTCCATCCAGGCTAAACTCACCCTTTTAAGCTATTGTAAATTCTCTTTATCTCCTTGGCTAACCACCACGTTTTCTTTGCCCTGTGCCTGGCTCTGTACCTGGCCTCTGCGTTAGTCCTATGAGAAAAGGCAGCCTCTTCTGAAGACCAGACAGACCCTTAGTTGTCTGTGCTCTCTGGGTCTCAGGTGGGAAAACCCAGTTTCAGTTCCTGGTTCTACCAACCTGCTTGAACCTGGCCATCAAATTGCAATACATGGATGTTTATATTTGTCTTGATCAATAATTAGACACAAAAACAAGTGTAAGGCAGTTCACAAACTACAGGGTCTGGTGGAAGTAACACCTGCTTGAGTGTGGTTGGTAGAGTAATAATTTGGGTGTAATAATTTATAGTTTTAATTTGAACATTTCACCTAAATGCCATATGGTATGCTTGAATGTGATGTTATGTTACAGAATTACATGCTTACAATTTTGATACAGCGTTACATACTTTATGTAATGAAAGATTTTGTAATAAAAAGGCAGGTGTTATCTGTGATGGACCCTGTACTTTTGTATTGGAGGACTTTTATTGTACCCATTTTGCAGATGAAGAAAGCGAGGCTTAGAGAGGTCAAGAAACTTCCTGAAATTACTGACTGTGGCAGAATCAGGCACAAGAGCCAGGCCTTTTGGATGTAGATGCCGCGTTCCATCCCGTGTCCATCTGTTGCTCTCACTGCAGTCTTGACTCGTGGGCTGTGAGGAGGATCTGATGAGGTGCCATGGGGAAAGGGCTGCCTTGGCCCCATGAGACAGAGAGAGCAGAGCTGAGTGCTGGGATTTCCCCAATGCTGTGGGGACCTCCCTAGTAGAACTGAGGGACTAGGACAAATTTTTGCTATTAGGATCATAGTACACTCACTGCTGCCAAAATCAGAGAATCAACCAGGACACACATCTGATCACGTCAATCCAAAGTAAACTGAAATGAAAAGCTGTGAGGCCCTGCAGCTGAAGATTAGCACTGACCATGGTCTCAGCCCCAAGCGTGCACACACCCTCCTTCAGGCCATTTGTTGGGACAGTTATGCGACAAAGGAATTCCTGCTGCACATGCAAGTCAGAAAACATCCCAGCAGAGCAGCCCAGCCAAATGGCTGCACTGCAAACCCAGGCATTGTTCCTCTTCTTCCTACCGCCCAGCAGAGGGGCAGTGCAGGAACTTGAAGGAGTGGGGCCCAGTTTTAGGAAGAGGAACTGGCAAGTCTTAAGGTTCACAACTTTTAGGATATATTGCTGGTTTGGACCCAGACTACCTCAGTAAAGTGGATATCAAAATAAAGTGAGTCACATGAATTTTTTGGTCTCCCAGTGCATATAAAATTTATGTTTATGCTATACTGTCATCTATTAAATGTACAATAGCATTGTCTTGAAAAATAATGTATATACTAGTTAAAAATACTTTTTGCTAAATAATGCTAATGATCTAAGCCTTCAGCAAGCTGTCATCATTTTGCTGGTAGAGGGTCTTACCTTCAATCTGTAAAAATCACAATATCTGTAGAGCTCAATAAAACAAAGCACAATAGAACAAGGTATGCTTGTACTTGCCCAATAGAACTCATTCTATTCCAAAAAGGTTTAAGTGCATATTAACTGTGAGAGAATCTTTCCTGTCTATTATCTTAGTAAGGCAATCAAGGCAAGGTGAGGTTCATGTGGGGACTACTGAACCAATTCTGGAGACAGCAAAGCCATTTCTTTGAAGAGTTGATGATCTATGTCCCTTGGCTTTGGCATCTTGACTCATTTTAGCTGCTACCAGCCCAGCCTTGGAGCAGCTCCCAGTGTCTCAGGCCTCTTTGCCTCCCTGGCACCGTCCCTCCTGTCCACTGGATTGTGTTCCATCTGTGATGTGGGCAGCATTGGGCTGCGCTCCTGCAGACCCAAGTTCCAATGCTGAGACAGCCTCTGCCTGTTGGTCTTGTACCAGCCATTTTGCCTCTGAGGTCTCTGGATGCGCTTCTCTAAACCAGGCAGGGAAAAAACAGGTGATTTCCCACACTCTTCCCACTCTATAGCCTGTGATTTGGTGTGAGGCTGACATATGCATGGAGAAAAAACAGGGCTCCTACCTGGGACAGGGCTCCACAGGGTGAGTTGCTGTAGTCTCAATTTTCCCTCTGTCACTCACCCTCAAACCAGAATTTGGTTACATCCATACACCAAGTGGACATTCATGGATTGCACTCTTTCAAAGGCACTGCAGATCTAAGGTAGTGGCGCAAGCTTTGCCAGCCAGCATGTGCAGCCTGACAATGATGAAGGCAAAGCACACCTCCTTGGTGCACAAAACAAGTCTGGTGGTGGCCTCCGCCCAGTACTTGGTGCATGCACAGTAAATACTCCCTTTCCTTTCATACTCCAGAAAGCATGATGGAATGCAAGTAACTGGGTCACTGAGTAACAAAGATAATTCTGAATCTGTTCAAATTCATTTTTAAAAAATCATTACTAACTTTGTTCCTTTCCCTCTAACCAGGAACAAATTATTTGAGACTTGTATCATAACGAATGCTGTTTGGGAAGCTGAGTACGACTGGTCAAAGGCTGGCAGAATCAGTCCACATGGGCTAAGTTCTGCTGCAATAACCAACAACCCCCAAATACCAGTGACTGAAACCAACAAATTCATTTGTAGCTCATTCTATACGTACTTTTCAGGTTGACAAGGAATGACTCCTCATTGTAGCCATTCATGGACCCAGGCTTATGGAGAGTCTACCTGGACATATGCTTCTGTGATCACAGAGGCAAGGGAATGAAAAACCATGTGGACAACACACTGGCTTTGCAAGCTTCTGACCAGAAATAATCCACCTCACTTCTGCTCCCGATTCATTGACCAAAGAAAGTCATGTGGCCAACCCTGGCTTCACTAGGGCAAGGCTATATCATGTTCCCACATGAAGGGGCACTGCATGTCTGTGAACAATAACCAGACTGCCACACTCCCCAGTCCTTGTTCAAAATGACCTGGGATACACTCAAGGAGCTAGGAACACAGTTTGTCCCTAATTGTCAAAGTTTACCCTACTTATGAATATACTTTCCTTGTCTTCCAGGTGAAAGGTGCAGGAGTTTCCAGAGTATAATACCCACTGAAGAACAAGGTAACTACCTTATTTACGTTCTGTCTACCAGCTCTGCACAATTTGGATAATTTTTATTATTTTTTATTGGGATAGGGGAAAGATAAAAGAGTTATTGATAGTTTTGGGTGTTTTGTTTTGTTTTGTTTCCATTAAATTGAGTCCAAAAGCTGGAACCCCTGGCTCTGTCTTCATTTGCCCTGTAGTGGAACATGAAATACCAACTTTGTTAAATGTTAAAGAACCAACTTTGCCAGGTGGGGGTGAAGGGGAAGTCTAGACTGGTAGTGTTTGCCACTTTCCATGGTGTAATACTCCCACCATGGCCAATTTCAAGCTGTTGATGCGAGGTGAACACAGAGCTGGGAAGAGATGAGCTCTGGCAGATCACTGCCTGTAGCACTTTCTCTTCTCTATAACATATTCAATTTATATTTGCTTTCTTAGTATCTGTTTACCCAGCTGGAGTACAGGCATGGATCACTTCTGTTTCATTCATTGCTGTGTCCCCAGTACCTAACTTGCCTTACAGGCAGCCTTTGACAAACATTAGTTTCCCTTTTTGTCCTCTCTTCCTACTCCCCTCCACATCCAGCACAGTTCCTTGAAGCCGCAAGTGAGATCCCCTCCGGAGATCTGAGTAAATAACTGGCTCACACAAAAACAAATGAGGCTTTGGCATCTGTAATCAGGGCTCTTAAAACTCTCAGACTCCTCTGCCCCTGTGTAAGTTTGTCTAGTTTCTTCTTTAAAAAGATCATGTATTCTGGTGGAATCAAAACAATACATTAATTTGGAAACTGAGGGATGGAGACCCTGGTATCTCTCTCATGTACTCACGTCAGAGTTTTGCTTTAGTTCTTTCATTTTTTCTTCTTCCCAGCAAAGGATACTCTTTACAAATTCTTCTTTCAAGCCCTAGGAGCCCCTTTCTCTGTCAAATTCCCAAGATTCATCCGGTATCTGTGGTTTTCACCCTGTGGCATTTGTTTATTTTTCATTTTAGAAGTGAACTAACTCTAAGGATCAAATATCCTAATTCTGCTGAATTCCAAGTACCCAGCATCTCTGTCTTGCCTACATTTTGCAGGTGTGTTGTGGCTGTCCATTGGGGCCAAGGTCCTGAATACCCTCCTGATGTTGACAAGTGCCATCCTTCTGGGCTCCAGAGTGAGTTACAGCAGCTGTGGGTCCCACTGGTTCCAGGTGGATGCTGCTGTAGCTGTCCTCATGGTGCTTGCAGGTACCACTCCAGCATCCCTCTGGCAGACACACTGCCTGCCCCTGAGGGAGCTGAGAAGCTTCGGGCCAGCTCTTCCCTGTCAGTGGCAAGTTCAGCAGGATACCTGGTCCACTGCAAAAGCCACTGAGTTCATTAATCCCATGAGGGGGAGTGATGAGGCTTTGGGTGACTGATGAAAAGAAAGGGAAAAAGCATAGACAGTGAATAAATTCATCAGTGTGTTTCATCACAGCCCCAGGAAAAGAGGGCACAGGCTCTGAGACACAAATTGCCTAATTTAGTGTGGTGGTGAGGCAGGAGTCTGGAGAGAAATCCTGCCCAGGTTCGGCCCTGTGCTACTTAATGGCTGTGTGGTCCTGGGCAAGTCACCTGACTTTTCTCAGCTAGGTATCTCAAAAGGTGATGACTAAATAAGAATGTGCCTAGCATATAGTAAGTACTCAATAAATGGTAGCCTGGTAAAAATTACTATCCATGTTTGGTGTAAATAGGAATAAAGAACTCCTTTTGGGGGCCTTACTTCTGTGTTCTCCAAGCAACTTTTAGAGCAACTTAATTTGGTCCCTAGGTGGGCTTTTTACCAAGAAAAGAACCCAGAGTAATGGCAGAGCAAAATTCTGTAAAGTTAATAGGCATCAGTCAGTCCAGTGGGGAGATCCCTTCTGGGCTTAGTAAGTGTAAAACATCTTTTCCAAGTCTTATCATCAGTGAACAGGATGATAAAATCCAATTTCTGGATTTTCATAGGCAACAGCCAGGCCATCGACTTGGAGGCTCCCTGCCAGGTCCTGGCATTCTCCTAAGGTCCTTCAAGGTCATGAGTAGGCCTTCTTCTGGATGTCTCCTGCAGTTTCAGCTGCATGAAAGAGATGTCCAGTACCATGTTTAAGGATTAGTAAGTTCAGGTACATCATAAGAACTTTAGATATTGCCATTAATATATAAATAATTGTCACCACCAGTTAAAACCCATTTCTATTGGGACCCCAGTTGGCCACTGCCCATCCTACATTTATTAAGTTAAAATATATTTGTAATTAGAGTCCCTGAAAAAGAAAGGTAAAACAGTGAAAGGACTAATAGTTAAAAGTAAAATTCAAGGAAACTTTCTTGAACAAAAGACCAAAATGTATATAGAGAAAGTTCCCTCCAAATACCTGGAAAAATTGGCACAGTGCCTCCAAGTCCTAGACACATCCTGCCAAACTATCAAAGAAAAAACTCATCTGGGTCTCCATGCACATAGACCAAGTCACTTACAAAGGAAAGAATCTCACATCGACAATGGACTTCAGTCCCCACTGATCATTGCCATGTGAGTCTAGTGTAGTCAGAACATACTCAGATTTTTGTGTCAAGTATCCTAGTTCTTAAGTATCAGCAAAGAATCTACACTAAAAATATAACAAGGCAGAACATTGCTTCAGGCCAAAGGCAGCTCAAGGACCCCTCCTCCTCTGTGCTGGGAAAGAGAGGCTGCAACATGGGGACTCAGGGGTGTGACAAGTTGGAAAGAGATGGTCATGGGATAAAGGACAGGGCAAAGGGACACACACCACTGCGTAGACCAGTGACAGTAAGAAATTAGTACACCTATGAAATGTGAAGGCTGCTCAGAAGGGGTCAAGGAGGATGCTAGCGGGCTCCTTACATCCCTCTCATGCCAGGCAGAGAAACCGTCCTCCCAACTTTGGCTCACTACACTGTCCTGTGCAGGGCTCCTGGGCATGGTGGCCTACGTAATGTACACAACCATTTTTCAAATCACCGTGAGCCTTGGGCCGGAAGACTGGAGGCCTCAGACGTGGAACTATGGCTGGTCATACTGGTGAGTTGTTGTCCAGGGTGCCCAAGTTCTGAGGCACCAGCAAGGATGCACGTGCATTTTGTAGGGACACCGCCCTTGGTCAGAGCCCTGCCGCCTGCTACTCTTGGGACTGCATTAGTTTATTAACCTCTCTGTAGCCCAGTCCCCTCATCTGTGAATTGAGGATACCTGTCTCAAATGTTTTCATAGATCTAAAGAAATCATGTTTCTAAAATATTCGGTACAGACTAAAATCCCCAAGAAAGGAGATCATTGTCATTATATTCTTAAACACAGCTTAGGGAATAAAGTCCTGTGCTATAACTCTAGTAAATATTTTAATGGCAGGAGACCCAGTTGCTGTTTCTAATGGAAAGATGAGTGCATGACATTGAACTTGTGTCTCTAACACAAAGACTTGGCCATGTTGTATGAGACCACAGGGTTCTCTTCAATGTGGACCTCCAAACCATAGCTTCATCTTACAAATAAATATATGTACATACACTTACATTTTCATCCTGTATGACAACCTCTTGTGTTACTTTCCTCTTTGTAAAATAAATAACACAGTCAAGGCTCACACCCCCATGACACTATGCCAGGGTTTGGAGAACATGCCTGTGTTACTGTTATCCACAAGCTTGGTTGTCAGTGTCATATGTAAGGACAATGAGAAGCTCCGAAGAGGAGTTAGAACTTACCTACTCATAGGCTTTCGTTTTAGGTGTTTGAGTATGAAGTCATCTATTTCATCTGAGAATTCAAGCCCATGAAAACATACACAAATGTCAGTTTATAGAGACTCTTTCTCAGCAACCACTCTACTGGGGCCCATGAAAGATGAAAAGTGTAGACCATCATATCAGAAGCAATAGGCTTCCAGAGGGCAGAGATGTAGAAAGAGCAGTGCCCTGTGCCAGTGTCCTGAGTTAGAGCAACAACAACAGTTACAAAATGCACCATATGCAGCAGGTGCCATACTGAGTACTTCCCACCATTAACTCACTGAATTCCTCACAACCATCCTGTGGACCGTACTCCTATTGTCCCAGTTTTGCAACTGAGAAACTGATAAAGAGAGGTGAAGTCAGCAGCTTATGGCTGCACAGTTAAGGAGAGATGAATTCTCTCAAACCCCCAGTGCACCTGAGCACTGTGCCACCAGAATTCACTCTGAGCCTCGAACCTACAACACAACATTGGCTGGGCTCTGACACTGGTGATCCAAAATCCGGGTCTAAATTGGGCAGAGGTAGGAGCTGGATTGTCACCAGACTGAACCCTGGTAGGAAGCCCTGGAACCTAGCCCCAGGTCCTTTCCTAACTGTGCCTTTTATTGACAGCCTCGCCTGGGCCTCTTTTGCCCTCTGCATGGCCGTGTCAGTCATGGCCATGAGCAGATACTCAGCAGCCCACCTGGAATGTACAGAGGAGCAGAGGGTGCAGAAAGGCAGTCGGCACTCTGAACACAATGTCCTGGAACCTGAGGCTCTGGAAGTGGTTTGGGAAACAGAAGCTGCTCGCAGCCTTGTGGGGCAAGCGCTTGTGACTTTCTCTGAGCACCTGCCACCAGGTGCTCCAGTTAGGGTGTCCATGTGCTAGCCAGTGCTGGTGGCTGCCAGATCTGCACAGGCAGACAAGCCAGGCTCTAATGTCTACAGTGAACCCCTCTGGGGTGGGCTTCAGAAGGCTGAATCCAGGTAAAGCTCCAACTCACTATCTCATCCTTCACTAAACCCCTTGGCTTCAGCCTCTCAGTCCAATATCTTTAAGTGAGAGAATGCTTATACACCATGTCAGTCATTGACCCTCCAGTTTAAGTGAACATCTCAAGCTTTCCTGACAGTGAGTTTAGTGAGTATAACAAAGAGAGGAAGCATGTGCACACTAAGAGGAAGAGAAGCCACCCTGACCATTGTGGCTCAGTTGGTTGGATGTACTCCCACTAAGTGAAAGGTCACCAGTTCAATTCCCAGTCAAGGCACATGCCTATGTTGTGGGTTCGGTCCTTGGTCAGGGCACGTATGAGAGGCAACCAGTTGGTGTTTCTCTCTCACATCAATGTTTCTTTTCCTCTCTTTCTCCCTCCCTATCCCACTTCTCTAAAAATAAATAAGCAAAACAACAACAAAAAAAGAGGATTGTAACGTGTTGCCCACACAGTTTGGTTGACAGAGGAGTCAAGAATTTATTTTCCTTAACTGACACACACAAATTGATCATATGTGTAAGTATCCCATACTTTCTTTGTAATTGTAATTGAAAAGACATGAATTTAAAAATAAGCTTTGTGTTATTTTTAAAAATATTTTTGCCCTGCTTGGGTGGCCCAGTTGGTTGGAGTGGCATCCCATTCCCCAAAAGGTTGCCAGTTTGATTCCCAGTCAGAGCCCATACCTAGGCTGCAGACTCGATCCCCCGTTGGGGCATGTATGGGAGGCAACCAATCAATGTTTCTCTCTCACATTGATCTCTCTCTCTCTCTCTCTCTCCCTCTCTCTCTACCAAATCAATAAATGTATCCTCAGTTGAGAATTTTTAAAATAAAAGATAAATAAAACAAATAAAAATATTTTTTCTTCTAAATTTTCCAATCTCTACCTATAGTAAAATCAGTTTGCAAGGTAATTGAGTGGTAAAACAAAATGAGAACAGTCGAATGGAATGACATCTTATCTCAGTCAAGTGGAACAAATGTTTGAATTGTTGTGTTTAACTTGCCAGTCACTTTTGCTTCTAAAAATAAACAACGCTAATCGTGCCAGTCTTGTGTGAACCAGTGGAGTACTGCATGTTCCCTAATGTGTTCAGTTACAATATTGTATAAATTATCTTATACTTTAAATTAACATTTTATTGAGGACACAGGTTGTTAGACACATAATTTGGAGTTAAGGGGGAAGTGGACTGCCAAATCCTGTAACACTAAATATTCTCAGATTCACTTAAAAAATTATTTATGTGTTTAGTGAACACATCATTTCTGGAAAAAAAAACTGAATAAAACCTTTAAATAAAATCACTCAATATGCTCATGCCGAACTGTAACATTTATACCGACATTGAATAAGAGGAAAATCCAGTGAATTAGTCGTGCCCCGGCTACAGGTGAGCACCTGCCTAACAGATGAAGGTCCCATGGAATTCTGTGTTGTGTTGAATGAAGCTTATTGGAAGATACAGAAAATTGAATTTTCCAGAATAAGCCCAAAACAGAAGAGGCATGCTGGGGTCCCCCCCACCCCAACCGTCTCTGCATTTAGAGCAGAAGGGTTTGTAACCCCGGCCTCTGTCCTCGCCAGGTGCATGTTCCGTTCTGCGACTCACCGCCCCTGTGTGTCTGTGCAGAAGGCCCCGCATCACTCTCACAACATCCAGTCAGAGTCTGATCTTGGAGAGAAGGACACACCCTGGAAATGTCCCCAAACGGGCCCTCACTCAGTTCTCTCTAAGAAATAAAACCGTATCTGCGGGGGTCACAGCTGAAGGTCCCGAAGAGGAAGTGAACGTTCTGTCGCCACGGGAGGGAAGCTGACGTCCTTGGATGGCGCAGGTGGCGCGGGGAGAAAGGAGTCCACGGCCAGCTCCACACCAGGGCCAGGCAGGGCCTCAACTCGAAACCCATCCTGTGTTACATCCTCTGAGCTCCAAGGCACTTTTAAAGCTTTTAAATGTGGACTTTATTGAAGTTAAGCAAATGTAGAGAAAAAGACACATTCCTGAGAGTATAGTCTAATGAATTTTCAAACAGTGAGCGTAGCCATGTAACCACACCCAGTTCTAGACACAGAACCAACACCCCCTGTTTTCATCAGTCTATGCTGTAACACAGACCCAGGTGGGTTTTAATTCTATGGTATACTAAGATAATTTATTTATATATCAGCTCCCCTCTTACAAATTGTCAAGTTTTTCTCTATGGCAAGAGAAAAACTTGTGTCTCTTCTCTGTACCCACCCCCCAGCATATAGAACAATGGTTGGCAAATAGAACCCCCCACACACACACACACATATATGGGCATATCCAGAAGTATGTATATGTGTGTATATATAATATATCTATCAAATGAGTATAAACATATGCTATCAAGTAGACTTTTTAAAGCATTTTGTGGGAAGTAATATGGCTTATGATGAAGAGCATGGATGCTGGGGCCAGGCTGCCTAAATATAACTCCTAGCTCCTCATCTTGACCTCGGGCAAGTCCCTGGCCTCTCTACACCTCTGTTTTCTTTTATGTAAACAATCCTATCTACTTGAGGGGTTGTGAGGACTAAGTATGTTGATATATGTGGAGATCTTAGAATAATGCCTGCAATTTATCACAAGGAAGGATTAACTGCTAGTATCTGCCATGTGCAAAGCACTGTGTGAGGTCCCATGAGCATATAAGGAAACAAGACAGAGTCTGAGCCCTTGCCAGTGAGTTGGGAGAATAATACCAAAATCACAGTGACCCTGTCCAAGAAAAAACCAGGATCAAACGAGCACAAATCCGCCAACCGTTTTTAGCCAGGAAGGCATCCATCCTTAGTCATTCAGTGAATTTGACCAGGTATCTACAACATTCCACTCCTCTTAGGAGTAAAAAGTCAAACTTCTTCTTTTTCTGGTATTAGTGAAATGCCTTTTTGGGGTCAGGTGCTATAGAACCGGTCCATGTCTGCTGTCTCCCTGGTGCACCAACACACAGGGGGGTTTCTGGAGTGTCGATTGTTCTGCAAACAAACCCATCTTCAGGAGGAGCTGTCTCTGGCGCTCAGACTCTCCCTGACCAGGCTGAGGGAGCTCAGGAGGCAAGGGTGGGTGGCAAAGAAGGGTGGCAGCTGACTTCCAAGTGGTTGGGCAAGAATGAACAAGGTGTCCACAGAGGAAGAACCAAGAAAGTAGCAGTCTGATGCTAGTGAGCCAACTATTTTTCCAGAATTAGTGAGTTCAGCCTAAAACTCACTCCACTGCTCAGAATCTGTTTTGCTGACTGTTTTCTTAGAATTGACAACTTAGCTATATTTCTGTCATCAGACCAACCCTTGGGGAGACTCACCTGGTTAGTCTGGGCTGGGAGAGACTTCTCTGAAGACCAAGATAAGGTTAGTAGGCCTATCCAATGAGACTGGTCATGTCTGTTCACATAAACATTTTTCATTCATTCAACTGTGTATACATGACTATAAAGCCCCGTTTGGATGCCATGGAGATGCAAGCATGACTGAGAGCATATCCATGCCCTCAAGGGACCAACTACACAAATAACTTAGTGTTGTATGGCAGGAGGGAGGTTGGGGAAGATTGGAAAACAGCCAAGGTTAAAGGTTAGGACATTGCCGTCACTTAGATGGCTGACGACAATATTATTCACTCTTGTCAGCTCAACTGCTGCATCAATGTGAGGCATGAAAAACGTGGTTTTTTTTTAAGTGGTCACAGGGAGCAGGAGAGAGACATCTTTCACCCCATGATAACATGGAAGAAAAGGAGACAGCAATTTGAAAATAGAATTAGTGAGATCAGATGAGGTCATAAGGATGCCAGACCACATGTAGCTGCTTCTCTTTCTCTCTCTGTTTACTTTACGTTCTCTTTTTATTTAGGAGATATTTCAATATATATAAAATAATGTAACAGACATGCATGTACCCACCAGTCAGATTTAACAGAAGTAAAGGCTTTGTCACAGTTGCCACAGATCTTTTTTAAAAAAGAAAAGAATAATGTAAGAGATACAACTAATGGCTCGCATGGCTCTCCCAGCTCTTCCTCTGTGCTCTCTCCCAAGAAGTGACCACCTCCCAGGAGTCGTTCCTTTGCACAGTTGTGCATATTTACTACACATAGACATAGTCATAACTACAAATGAAAGTGTCTTGGATATCTCTATATTTTATATAAACAGCATCATCTTAATTGGGATGTCTGTCCAAAGGAGGTAAAGACTTTTTTTTCATTTTTTATTGTGGTGAAATACACATAACATGACATTTACCATCTTAACTATTTTTACATGTATAGCGGGCATTAAGTACATTCACACTGTTGTGTAACCAGCACTGCCGTCCATCCGCATTCATCTTGCAAAACTGAAATTCCACATCCATGAAACACTAACTCCCCACTGGCCACCCACCGGCTCCTGCCTGTGACTGTGACTGCTCTAGGTGCCTCATATGAGTGGAATCATACAGTACCTGGTCTTCTGTGACTGGCTTATTTTACTCGTCATGATGTCCTCAAGGGGCATCCGTGTTGTAGCATATGTCAGAATTTCTTTCCTTTTTCGGGTTGAATATTCCAGACATTTTTTAGATGTTAGGCTAGTCTGGCAACCCACCATCCTGCCCCAGCTTGCTCCCCACTCTACAGTGGCCCAGCCCTATGCCTGAGTGTCTCTGTGGATCAGGAGCACCCAGCCTCCCAAAGGAGAGGAAGCAGCTTTGAGCAGCAAAACAAGTGCTGGTCCTGGCTGGAAAGATGGACCACGCTCGCAGGGCCTGCATTTCAGCCCTGAGAACAGCCTGGAAGTGACAGTGACCCAACACTTTACTCTTTATAAAGTGTGTGCACACACACTCCCTGACTGAGCCGGGCATTCTTTGTCTCATAACCCAGTCCAGGGAACTCAGGAATGAGCCCTG